CTAAAATTAAGGTAWCTTTTAGAACAGAGAAACTTTGTTAGTTTCAACATTCAGAGATACGTTAAATGGACAAGAGGCTTGACAAACTACAATATGGGCGTGTTGTTGCACGTGCCTTAATATCACTTCAATATTCGTCTATAGGAAAGAAACAAAAGTCAGGAGAAAAATAAACAAATGAGTCAAAAATACAACAAATGGACAGATGCACAATATTTATACATTAATTGTGGCCTTTTGTGTATTTGTGACATTGTGTTGCTTAACTGGAGTTTTCAAATAATCAGTAACTTAAGTAAAGCAAATTCTTTSAGAAGAAACGATCTTAAAAACTGCGAAAGATCTGAGACAAGTGCAAGGCGGCTGATTAATGCATGTGTTTCAGTTTTGGCTTGTGATGTTGTGTTGCGTTGCAAAAAACTGTCATTACAAAATTGTGTGCAAACTTGTGAGTTTGATGGACCAAAAATCATAGACACACACGCCTAAAGGGAGGGGGTAATAAATTAAATAGTCAGATGATCAATCGTTCAACATGTGTTAGTCCTTGTACATGAGTCAGTGTGTGGCATCCATTAAGAAAATGTACAAATCTGAATGTTTGTCTCTTTACACGAGATCTGGGGACTTTGTAATGCTTTGGGATATTTTGTCTGCAGTTTGAGAGAAAAGTTAGAAGATGGAGTCCCTATAGATTAATACGAAGTTGATCTGACAGCTCAGCTTTATCTTCCAATGAGATATTTCTATAAGAAGTGTTCTTTTTTAATTGCAAATGCTCCAATAAAAAATCTCAAGCACTGTTCACTAATGAWATCTGCTCAATGAGTTTAAAACTGATGTGAGTCATGTGCTTTGTTGTCTCTTTTTGTCACCAGAGAACCCCACAAATGAACACCAATTGCAGATTTTGGCCCATAAAACAGCAATTGGCTGAATATCTTGTGGACGGTTGGGGATTTTACATTTACAGCCAAATTCTGGTAAATGGTAGAATCAAAGCCAAGAAAAAAGAAGCTTTTTTGACAAGACATGCTGATTCAAAACATTCTTTATGTTGCTTTTTTYCCCCTCCTTAATAAATCACATGTGTATTTCAAATAATCAAATACAAATGTTCATCAGACATGGACAAGAGTTCAGTGTTTGAAACATTTGAATCTACTGAACAGATGCTACATGGAAGGGAACAAAATCATAAAGAATATTGTTCTTCAGCCTTTCTATCTGCCAAGGTCATGCTTGTTTATCACAGCAGAGACTGGACAAAGGCTTGAATATATAATGGCAGATTCAGAATAAACAGGATAGGTTTTGAGAATGGGGAGGGCACAACATATTCAGCCTCAAGACTTGGCCTGATTAGATGTCCAGACATGATATAACCTTCAGGATCTGTCAGACATAAAGGAGAGCAGAGGGAGGGGTTRCATCCAGACACACAGCAGAGCACACATTCTCACATAAACATAAGAAGAATATGCATTGAGAAAATTTCATTTTCTTTCATCAGCACTTTTATAAAATAAAGCGAGGTGCCATTATTAAACCCCATAACTGGCCTCCATTTCTTCTTCTTTCATCCATAAAAAACTGAATCTAATTTTCCCATCCCTGCCACAAAAACCCCCAACACATAAATAGTGGCCCCACCCATAGTTTCTCCAGCACCTCCCATAGGAAAAAGAAAAAACCTCATAGCATTTCTTTCTTTAGGCAAAGCTCTATTTTCTATTTTGATAATATCAAAATGGACAATAGAAATATGATTTCTGATCAGGATTTTAGTTTGCATGTAATTCTGAGAAAATGATGGAAATTTGGAGTAAAAAGTAAAAATACATGCATCAGTATGAAGAACAGGGAAATAGCAGAGAACTGTCACAAAAAAATCCAACAGGGATAAGAGGAAATTTATAGCTGTATGATGTTTCTTGGTATTCCAAGTTTAAAAGTTTGGCTTTTGTTTTATTCTCAAAAATTAAAGTGACATTTGACAATGGGAATATGGTATTTTTATCATATGTGTACTTCAGCACTTTCTTGTCTTTGGGACATTAAAAATTGTATCCCCAAACAGGATAATGACAATCTGGGATCATAAATATCAGTTTGATTGAGAAAACATAAGAGACACATTAAACATATCGATGTATTTTGTGTGCGTCTAGTCGTAGAATAGTTCGCAAAAAAACAAATAAGTCTTGCMTTCTCTTCCATTTGCAAACATGTACAATTAAGTTTACCATGAAGAAAAAGCAATAATAATAAAAGCTTTTCCAGAAACAATGCATGGTTTATCTTTTATAGGCTACTCTCCTATAATACTGAAATAACATGAAAAGCTTGCTCCTAATTTATAATTTAACAGTTTGTCATTAAATCCTGAAAACAATATTTTTACACAATCTTACATTTTTGAGGACACATTTGAATTTTATCCTGCATTTCTCTCAGCAAGTTAAAGCAGTATAGTGATTGGACCATGGCTTTGACTGTTCATGTAAAACTGAAAGGGTTACTGTGTACAATGAAGTAGATCCGAAGAAGTCTTTTTGAAGTATCACCAAGACAGGAAAGAAATTTGTCATCAAGTTCTTTGTGAAAAAACTGAACAATAATGAAATTGTAAAATAAAAAAGAAGTTCTTTAAAGTTCTTAACTGTAGTGAATACAAGGTTTACTTAGCCTTGTTAAAAGGTGAAGAGCAGTATTCTGGATTTGCCATGAGCAACTAAAGCACACTGTCGTAGATAGTGAATGTGACCATCGGGTCACATGAGACATTCAAAGGAAAAATTGTACTATTTTTATAATAAAAGTCTGAGGCACAATTACCAAGTCATCTTTAAAGTGGAGGTATTGTGTATTTTCCAAGCACTTAGTTCAATTCTATACCACTATCAAGTTACTGTTACCTTCAGTTGTCATTAAAATGCTGTATATTACAATAAATTTGATGTTGCATGATAGCTTATAAACTGTTTGGAATTGGCCTCTGTCTCTTTAAGAACTTTCTACCATTTCTGACACTCCCACTTCAGCTAAAAAAAAAATCGCTATTTCATATAACCCCCCAAAATATTCAATAATCGGTAACATTGCCTAATTGGTAGTAACTAAAGTAAGACTAAACTGGAAGGTGGCCGCATTAATGATATAACATTTATCAAAACGGGCTCATCGCTACTTTTCACTTCGAACAGCTAAACGTGGGATCAGGAAGCAGAATGGAGGGCAGCACATTCAAAGGTCCATTTCTCGCTAGGACCTGAGTGTTAACAGCCAACTGTTGGGAATGTAGAAATGGGTGGTTCAAATAACTTAAGGAGCTAGAGCCAAATAAACAACAAAATTGCCTGAGATGTTTTTTTTTTCTTAATCTGAATACATTTTTTTATTATTGGTGTCAGTGAAATCAGCACTTATCAGTATCTCTGGAGAACTAACAGTGTTGAGGTGGGTGGGGGGTGGGGTTGGGGGCAATCACAGATTTTTTTCCACACAATTTCACCATGTAATTTCCGACCGTGCATTTTGGATCAAAATTAATTTCCTTGGTTATCTGCTACATCAGAAACAAGTGATCGCTGGAGATGTCAATCCCAGCAGCCAGAGTGAGCTCACTGCAGCTTTCTGACAGAATGGATTGCATATCCCCGCCGAAGCTCAGACATGTCATGCCGACTGGGCTGCAATTCTGTGTGGGATTTCCTTCTTCAGCCCCTTTCCTCACCCTCATACGCTGGCTCTCATTCACTCAAAGACCTTTATTAAAGACCTTCTTTGACCTTTATTGAGAACCAAAGTAAGCRGTCATTTTTTTCCGATCGATGCCTGATTTACCTCATTTTAGTCCTCTTCCACGATGCCACCTATCAGTCTTGTTAGTGTTTTGTAATTTCTCAGCCTGTGTGCTCAGAGGTGCAACAAATTAGGATTATATAATTTAATGGTTTAACATGAACCACTCTGTTCTACATTACACATGCACCATCTTGTAAGGTTCWACACATGTTTCACACATGGCTTACCCTCTGAAACAACAGGGGGTTTTGAAGATRGCCTGAGGCATTTTAGMATATAGCCCATCTTTACAAGGTTATTGAGTAGAAAGAGTTTGAGTGTGAACTCAGGGTAGGGAGTGGGTGAACCATGCACATACAATCCAATGAAATTACTATCATCACAGCATGCAGTTTAGCTTATAGGGGCAGTCCCTGGGCAGAGCCTCCAAGGTGGGAGGGGCAGGGTGCAGCGGGTAGGAAGGGTTAAACGGTGGTGTTGTAAAACATTTATCTGCTTCAGATAGAGCATTAGATAGGTTGAACCTCATCCCCTGCCATTACAGAATTACCCTAACAGCTGCCGCACTGTGGCTGAGCAAAGACACCATGCCCAATCCTTTTCCGCTACCCTATTGATTTTCACACCCTGAGACAGTGTGCTCCCAAAGGGCAGTAAATTATAGAGAGTTTTACAGGGAATTACACCTGCAATGGAAAGTTTACAAGGATACAGGTGCCATGGCTTATTTTTCCACAGAATACTGTGAGAAACTGGTCATGGAGGGCCCTGTTTGCTTAATTAAGCCGCTCACATTAAAGTATGTACTCCCGCAAACCACACAGAGGCTTAACCCAATATATATGTCCACTGCTGTGACATTTAAAAGAAAACAAGTCAGTAAAACATCCTCTAAGCTCACCTTTTTGACATTTTACCTTTACACTTGGTGAAGTGACTAAAACACTAATAAAAAGACATACAATTCCCTGGCTAGACCTGAAACCAAGAAATTTCAGCGACAGTGCTGCAGACTCCTTCGAAATAATTTTATTTCGAATTAAAGCTGAATTCCATAGATAAAATATTTAAACGAGAAATATGATGAAGAAGGATGCAAAGGGCAACAGTCAAACAACAAAGAACATGTTTAAAGGGAAAGTTTAATATTTGAAGTGAGGTTCTGTGGAAATGTTMAATAATTATWAACTTACCTCTTATAGATAGCTCTTTGAACAACCTCAGTGCCGCAGGCTGCACTCGCAGTGCTAAGGCTAACTGCTGTTAACAGTGTGTGCTCCTGCAAGAAACCAATTAATTTAATGTAAATAACTGCAATATCCAATGGCAGTGTAATGATTTATAAAACAGCATTTACTTAAATCACAATAAAACCTTTTTTTTAGTTGGCCTTTGCAGACTGTTGGTTCGGTTAGAATTAAATCTCTTTTCTATCTTAATATAACATTTCTTATGAACCCCACTTCAAAAGCTATGAACTGTTTTAGGTTGTACAAAAGCCAACTTTGTTCAAACTCACTACAATTAAAAGTAAAAGTAAAATACATATGAAAAAACAAGACTACCAAATGTCTACGAGCCGTTACTTTATTGTGTAGTTTTTTCTCTTTTCTTTTCTTTTTTGCAGGAAAATGACAGTTTGTATATTCATTCTGTGTAGTCTTTTTTGTTTGTTTATTTTTTATTTATTTATTTTGTATAAAACTCAGTTTGCAGTGTTAAATCATCACATGTTGAATTAAGTTCATTATGAACTTTACTACTCAGTGAAGGGTTCGACAGAGAACGTTTTAAACAATGCCTAAAGGTGATTGAAATGGTAGTTTTAAAATTGCACAAACTTATTTATGTTTCACACTGTGGAGAATTCAGATGGCCCCATGTAGACTTTCATTCATCTATCTGCTTACAGACATATCAGTGGATGGGTATGTTGTGATGCCAAGGGCACCTTTCTATAGGGGTGGAAGAAAGAATCAAGGAAGAAATTGCAACTAATAAAAAACTCTTTACTCTACAATGCTTGGATATATATGGTGTCTTTTCATTTTTCCTCCAGCTCCACTCACTCACAGTGAAACTAGCTCTCAACACCAGCGCTGGCTGACCTCACTATAGCCCTGCAAACATGAAAGACCCTTTATCTGTTCCAGGTGTGGGCTGACTCACGCTGGGAGTGTGTGTGACTGACTCATTCGAACTCAAGTGAGACACACAGATGTTTATGTACATGAACAGATTCAAGATCCACAGGCAATTTACAAAACTAAAACAGAAGAGCAACACAAACTTTCCATTAAATTTCAAGCATGTGAAAGCAATAAAACAGCCTTGTACACAGCCAGGCTCAGTGATACGTTTCCAGACAGAAAGATTTCTCAATTGTTTACACACTGCTGAGAAAGACTGCTGCTCACATGTAGCATCGAAATACATCAAAGAGATCCCASTTAACCAATCTGATTAGATGTTACTTCCTGCTTAGCTTTCATTTTAATCAAATCAGAAACGAGCTCAGACAATTACTTAAATGGGTACAGTTCTGCAGAAAAGTTAAAACAAGATCAGAACATTTTTTKTATTAATAAGATATGTTTTACAGCAAGTCACGGCTGTAAATTTTTTTTGTGAATTTTTCACAAATATGAATACAGTTAGTGAGCAATAAAACAGCACCAGTGACCTCAGCCTYTCTTTCTGTCTGGTTTCAGGTTAAACTTGACCCCTCACACTTGACCTTTGGGGTTTGGCTCAGCACTCGCTGAGCAGAGAGAGGGGCGAGGGCACAGCTGGGAGGGAGGGTCTTGCGGCAGGACAGGCTCCCCTCCGACAAAGGGAGAAATTCAATTGAAGCGTATTAGTGTCCAAGCAGTTGAATATCACTCATTCGAACTAACTAGAAACATCTTTTCTACTGTGCTCAAGGCAGYTTCCATTAACCTCTAAAACTGCAGGAGGGCCAGGGTTGGGAGGGTCATGCAGAAAAGCTCTCCGCTTCAACTTTCTGAGCACTTATCCGTATCTCTCTATTTTTAACCTTTCATACATATTGCTCTGGTCGTTATTTTCAATGTTTCTGTCCTGCACTGCCAAACGCCCAGCAGGTTTGATGTATGAAGGGTGGTCCATCACTTACATTGTTCCCCAGAACGACCAGTGAGTGTAGTTCCCTGCAGAGGGTCAAACAAAAGACAGATAGATGGACCTAGGTGAGGACTTATGCACCAGGGGAATATACTCGGGACAGCTTACAAATAGGACTGAGCGGAGCGGGAGGAAGCTGAATAAAAAGATAGAGCTGCTCATTCCATAACTGTCACCTGTGTAGATTGAACAGCCGTCCTAAATGAAGATAAACTATCAATCCACAGAGTAATATGTGACGTTTGGTAAATCAACAATGTAAAGAAGGGTTGCCAGTGAAAACGTTCTCTTGGTATTTGAATATTGACGTCAAACTAGTGACATGTAGACTTTTACAAGCATTAAACAGGAAAACGTTTAGGAGCTGGATTCCACTTCCCTCTGAGCTGCTTCATGACAAATTAAAAAACCAAGAGGAAAATCATATTGAAAATTGGGTCTCATCTTGCTGCAAGAAAACCCTCCTCCCCCATGCAT